ATAAGTATTGATCCAGCCTTAGAGGTATAGGGGGAAGAGAGTTGACTACATTTACGTTATTCTCTTGCTAACTTAAGCATCGGAGCCCGTGTGACTAGAGTCACACCGGTTTAGCTCGATTTGATTTTGCAGGTACTAGTCCCGGATCAACAAATTTGGTGGATGCGAGGTAGTGAACCGGAGGACCGAAATCCACGCATCAACCGATATAATTGACAAATCCCACTTCAGAGACCCACAATTATTTCCTATATAGGTGAGTAAGGTGGATAAATTTACTTTTTCACTATTTATTGTGCTGTTTTTTTGGAGCTTTTTTCGGGGCTATTTCGGGACCATTTTTCACAATGGTCAGAGGCTATTTTACTTGTTGTTGTTGATTTTTGAAGGTTTAGGGAGGATGTTTTACGTATTATTGTTGTTGATTTTTTAAATGTTCTTGGGAGTTTTTTTACATTTTATTGTTGCTTATTTTGAAGAAAATTTGGGGCTGTTTGGCGTCAATTTCTACTGAAAATTGCAGATTTTGAGGGCTGACTTTGGACTGTGTTTATGCTGAAAGTTTCAGATTTTGGGGTTATTTTGAAATGGTTTTGTGAGCTGAAAATTGCGGGATGTCGAGACTGTTTTAGGTGTTAATCTACTGAAATTTGGGGCTTTTTTTTTCTTTTTTCATATTTATGTTCTGAAATTTTGAAGATTTTGGGTATTTTTGGGAACAGATCAACATGAGAATTGCTTCAAGTCAAGCATGCTTAATATTGGAGTTCTTATGACTGAGTCGCCATAAATGAAGGTGCACATTTTTCTTGACCATTTTCTCATGAGATCCCTCTCAGACTGATATCGGTTCATTCATGTATCCTCCACATCATAATTTTCCTTTAAAAATCAACTTATTTTATTTTTCTGGCAAAACTTATTTTAAATGTAAAAAAATTTGTTTACTAAATATTTCACTCGTTAAATTAAAACAACAAATAATTTCAAATTTCATTTCACTCATTTAAATTAAAACAACAGACAATTTCAAATTTCTTCTAAAATTCAGTAACTAGAAAAAAAAATGCCACCAAATAACTCCAATTTTCAGCTAAAAACAAACCTAAAACATTGATTTTTTAACAACAAAAATCCTGCAAAATAGTTAAATTTTATTCTAAAAGATAAAATGAGTTTCTTTCAAGTTCGACTTAGTTTGAAATTGCAAAGTAAGTCGAAATTGAGTTAAAAGCTTCCCTATACTCAATGGACTCTCAAACTAAAAATATATTTATCGTATACCAAATTTTGTTTAATAGGCGACAAATTACATTTTGTGGATGGTTGGGACGATTCCAAGCTTTTTATCTCGAAAGAGACCCAGGAGATGACGCCAGTCAATCCCGTCGCAATGACGTTGCGACATAGGTAGTTGTACTTTTACCTTTTTATTTTCTTGCTCGAACCAAAGTGATACTTTCATTTGTAATTAAATATAATAATTGTAATTGAATGTACTTCTCATTTGCCCAAAAGTCAAATAGCTAGCTTGTATTTATTATAAGTTCATGAAAGCAAAAGCAAACGGCAAACTTAACACATGAAATTCAAAACCAGGACAAAAGAAACATAGCAACCCAACCCATAAACAAAAGGACGTCGACTCCACATGAAAAAGCTAGCCATAACAAAACATTACGATCACATAAAACTTGGTTCCAAAAAGTTCTTTAGTTTTGAACTTCGTCACTATCCTCGCTGTTGTTGTCACCATTGCCATCACCAGGGCTATGGCCAGGAACGGTTGGGCGATAAGCAGTCACCGAGAATCCATCAGAGCTATCTCCAGTAGTGCTCACCGTAGGAGCTTTTGCGCTACCTTTTGCCATAGCCACGAAAAGTTCATTTGGCAAAAGTATGAGCAGAAAAAAGAAGCAAGTTAGGGCGGCCTTCGACATTGTCTAACAAAATGAAGAATTTTAGAGAGAGAGAGTTTTAAGGATGTGAGAGGGATGGGGCTCCTAAGTTCCAACTTATCTCTATTTATAGACTAGTTCAAAGGTTAATACAATATCTTGCAAATTGCAAAATCTATCACATTGTAATTAAAATAGACTTATTAAGTTGTTTCCTCTAATTTTTTTTGAATCAAAAGATGATATAAATAAAATACTGGGATGCAAAACTTTGTTCCTCGCTAAAAAAGATGTATGGTTCTGCACTCAGCACGTACCATCTTGAAAATTTCAATATTTTTGTACATGGTTCAATCAAACTTCACAAATCTTATCTTTGTTCTTACTATATCGACACACTTTATACGTGGCAATGATCGAGTTAATGATCTAAATTAGAGTTTAGTATTGATTATGAGATATAAAAGGTTAGATGGATTTTTCTAGTGCATAAAAGACAACAATTTAAAGATGATTGGAGAGGTTATAACCAAACCATAATAACAAAATTGATATTTGTAAAAAAGTAAGATCAAGATTTAAATAACTAAACCCAAATTGTACCGATTATATTGAGACATTTAAAACTCTAAAAGCCAAAATAAAACCATGCTCAAATTAGATGAAGGAAATTTGTAATTTAATATTTATATTTTTTATTCGTAAAATTCATGTATTAATTGACAATTCACTGTACATAAACAAGGCAACTAAGTTCTGAAACGGTATTGTGTTTTTTTGCCACTTTTCGATTGTGTGTTACGTGGTAGAATATTGAAATAATGGATCTGAATCTTTTGATAGAATCTTTCCCTACCTTACATTTGTGTAGAATCTTTCCCACCTTACATCTGTGTGGTAAGCTCTTTGGAAGATCTTTCAAAATAACTCTGATGTGTCCTGCTCTGTCTTCCTAATAATATTATTAAACTATTTTCCATATGAATTACATACCCAGTATTTTCATGTACTAATATTAGTTAAATTAACATTATTAATAAGGCCCCAAAGATTACCTAACAAAATTTCTAACTTGAATACAATGTATACAATTTATAATTAATTGTATGGAAAGAAAATATGTCTTTCAATTTTTAGAAAATGAAACGACAAAAGTTTTTGTATCCCATCTTCTTAAATTCCATAGTACACAAAAAAACAAAAAAGAACAATAATAAACAAATAAATAAAAGATTTTTAAATTCTAGGGCAAGATTTTTTATTTTTTAATTCCACAAATTTATCGACACAGTGGTGCATTATATTAATTCAAAGAAAAATTCCAACCATTACCTTTTATTTGATAAAAGTTTTAATGATGCTTTAGGCTAATTTTTAGCATTATAAATTTATCAATTTAAAATAGATAGATACTGTCAATTTTTTTTTTGTAAAATAAATTGTATTTTTTTTTCAATTTATAGTATTTCTATTTATGTATTTGATTAATGAATATAATACTTGACAAAATCTTACCTTACTAAATAGAATATTATTAAATAATAATAATAATAATAATAATAATAATAATAATAATAATAATAATAATAATGATGGTATTCTATAAAACTCAATTTTATGCAATACGATTTTCATTATGATAAGTTTGATAAGTAAAGAGACAATAGTTTAAAATTTAAATTAAGTATATAATTAATAAATATCTCTTGAAAATATATTGGTGACTACTTTTAGAAAAATATATTTTTGAAAATGTTAATTTAAACAATATCAGTGAAAATGTTTATAATATTTTTTTTTGAAAGAAAAAGTTGAGAAAATGGTTAGCCAACTTATGAT